AAGTGGTCTTGCGGACTGAGTGCAGGGGCTGCGAATATGGAGGTCTCAAGTTCAAATCTCATCATCACCTCAGGATTTTTTCCGGACATAATACCTTTCATCGAGTTAATCAGTTGATCGACAAACTGAATCAGGTCTCCAAAGATTAATTTGAGTGAAATCTTGAATTAATTCCCCTCTTACGATGTGCCATTAATTTTTTTCACGTNAATCACGTTACGTCAGATTAATGACGTAAGTAAACGTCATTAACATGACGTCATTTTTGACGAGACAAACTCACGTCGTCATTACGTTAATATCACGTCATAAACTAACGTCGAACTGGTCAAAAACTGACTTTATATTAACGTCATTATAACGTCAGCTGGTTGCCTGGGAAGCAAGCAAATACAGACCTATTAATATATTACCAATATTTGAGGAAGTGTTAGAATTAGTAGCAAAAGAACAGCTTGAAATGTATCTGGAAAGTAATGCTATTATTACAGAACATCAATCGGGATTTAGAAAACAATATTCGTGCGAAACAGCGATTCAAACTGTCATTGACTATAGGAAACTAGTAGTAAGTGAAGGAAAAATGGTAGGGGTAATTTTCATGGACCTTAAGAGAGCGTTCGAGACAATAGATAGAGAAAGATTATTAGGAAAATTGTCAGTATGGAATTAGAGGAGTGGTCTTAGAATGGTTCAAATCGTATATAAGCAAAAAGAAACAGCACGATTTAATCATAAGTGGTCTAGGTTCCTAACAACAGAATATGGAGTACCACAAGGGTCGGTACCCTTGTGGTACTCCAGAGGTTGAGACCTCTGTTATTTATAGTATATATAAATGATATAATCAAAATATGTCCAGAAAGATGCAATATAAAAATGTTTGCTGATGACACACTAATATTTTAACAGAAGCATACACGTTATATTATATAAGTAATAGTGACTTGGTTAGGTGGCGTGCGAGTGCACGGACACGGCTGTAAGAACGCACGATATAAAAAAGGTTTAGCTAGACAAAGAAATTAGGAAAGGCAATACAAGTAGTAGAAATAGACGGGGAAGTTGGAGAAGGAAGTGGAGAAATAAAGGCAAGACAAGCGGATCGAAGAGGAAAGAGAAAACTGAAAGGAAAGAAAGACAGGACAAGAGGTTATGGCGGGAAAAGGTACGGAGACAAGAAAGGCAGGAAGACCGACAAGGCTGAGGAAGGAGATTGAAGAGAAACAAAGGCTTTTAGAGTTTACGACGAGAGGAAATGAGATTAGCAAGACGGAAAAGAAAAAGGTGACTATTATGGGAATGGAGACAAGAAGAAGACGAGGGGTGGAGGATGATACAGAAGGTACAGAGAAGAGAAGGTCGGAGTCAGAGTTTGAGCTAGAGAAAAAGAGATTCAAAGAGTTTTTGGAAGAATGGAGAAAGAAGGAGCAAGTTCAGGACATCAAGATAAGGATCTTAGAAGAAAGAATAGATGAAATAGGTAAAATAGTCAAAGAAATGAAAGAAAGAGAGGAAGAGAGAGAGGAATATTGGATGGCGGAGAGAGAGGAAATGAGCGGGAAGAGTGTAGCAAGTGCAGCGAGTGCACTAAGCAGGGATATGAACAGCCACATAGGCTCTGCGTCAGACAAAAGTGTAGACAGGTTAAGTGTACGAGAGGTTCATAAAATAAAAAGTCTCATTTCCGACAAAGAAAAAGAGGACAGAAAGAAAAATGTAGTCGTGAAAGGGATAGTAGAGGATAAAGAACTAGAATTGATAAAGGAGGACCCGAAGAGGTGGGCGAAATTCTTCTTCAAGAGTAAGCTAAGGCTGGATTGCAATGTAGTGCAAGGTAAAGTAAGCGACAAAGTTGTTGTAATCAAACTAAGTAGCGATGAAGAAAAGAAGGCGGTAATGGAAAATAAAAACAGATTGAGAGGAGAGAAGATATTTATTCAACACGACTTGACTTGGGAAGAGAGAAAAATCCAGGAGGAAATCTATAAATGGGTAAAAGAAAAGAGAGAAAAAGGAGAGGAGGTGAAAATAGGGACAGGAAAGGTAAAGATCCAAGGAAAGTGGAGACAATGGAGGGACATACAAAGGGAAATGGAGACAGAAAAAAGGAGAGAGGAAGAAAGGAAGGAGATGGAGGGTAAGAAGGATGCAGAGGAGGAGAACTAGAAGGAGACCTGAGGGAGAAAATGGAAGGAACACCGCCGGAAGATAGGAGAAACAAGATAAGAAGAAAGTAGATTACATGCAAGGAAGGAGGAAAATTAAGAATGAGGGAAGAAGACTAAGACTAGGAAAGGAAAAGTAAAAGAGATAAGGGGGGAGAAGAAATAATAGCGAAAGCGGAGAAATGTCGTTTTAAGTGTAAGAGATGTATTATATGTAACAGAGGTAACAGATGTAAAAGGTTATAAAATGTTATAGATGTGTATAGGATGTAAGAATTGAGGTTATGTAGGGGGAGTAGAAGAGTGGGAGTGAGATGAGAAGTGTCTAGACAAGGTAGAAAGGGTAGTTAGGTAATAACTGGCGTTCGCAATAAGGAGAACTGATATAAGTATTAGGATAAGATAAACGTTGTAAGATAACTGTAAAAAACTGTAAAAAGCTGTAAAAGGTGTAACCAAGTCCCCTTCAAGCCGTTAAGGCAGAAGGTAAAATAAATACATATTACATATAAGTAATAGTATACTAATGTGGATGTGTGCTTGGTGTGCTTGAGAGAACTTAGACCAAAGCAGAAGTAATTGTGAGTGTAGAGAAGAGCAGAGTAGTGAAGGATAGGAAAAAAGGTAAATATTCGGTTCGATGAGAGAATAGAATCCTACTCGCGCTGGGGGAGGAAAAGCGGTCAAAGTAGGGATACTGCCCTGCCGCTACTCAGTACCGTAAACATAGATACACAGCACGTTCAGGTCCGAATTTAGATTTCAGTGGATGAAATAATGTTTTATTTTAATGTACTACCAAGTTTTTTAATGTAATTAAATGTAGTAAATGTGTAATCAAATAATTAAATGTAATTAAAATATAAATCGAAACGTTTATACAAGTGTGAAGATTGAACGAATAGTACAGCACTGTGAATTGGGGGGGTTTTCTGGTAGGAGAGATGCGCAGAACGGACGCATTTTCGTCCATGAGTGTCCTATTCTCTCGTTAAACCGAGTATATGAAATATTTCTAAATAATAAATTAAGTAAAGAAGGCTAAATATAAGTGGATTTAGAGTCAAAAAAGGTAGACTGTAAAAGAATAAAGTTAGGTGAATAGTGGTGATTGGATGTAAGCAGAGAGAAGAATGAGAGCGGCTACGACTATAAGAGAATGTATAATCACTTTTAGTGAACATGGTTCTATTCTGTGTTATATTCTGTAGACATAATTCTATTCTGTGCTATGAGAACACCGACGTAGTGGGGATACGCACACAATGCCGTCATACATCAACATAATATGTCTGCACTCTTCCACAAACTTACACGGACGGCGGTTCTCGCTTGTGTGCGTATCCTCACCACGTCGGTGTTCTCATAGCACGGAATAAAACCATGTCTACGAAAAATGATTACACATTCTCTTATAGCCGTGACCGCTCTCATTCTTCTCTCTGATCCCAGCAAACATCACGTGTCACCACGCCGTGAAAAACATGCCATGTGAACAATATGTTGGTACAGTGCTGTTCAGTGATGACACGCGTTGTATGCTAACAAAATGATATCATGGCGTGCTGAGGTAAGCATTGCAGGAGGACCGACAGATGTCGCTACTTTTAATTTGGTGATTCTCCGGCAGCACAATCTATTCTTTTCCTCTGCTTGTCTTTCCCCCTTGTATAGAAGTGTATCAGCTTCAGCATTGAGACCTTGTTTATGCGAGCAATAACCGTTAACTTATTATTATACACATTCGGCAATTTTGTAAACAAAAACATTGAAATCGTATAGTTTATTGGTTTTGATATAAGATAACGGTTATTGCCCACACAAACAAGACTATACTGTGTTGTGAAAAAGGTGCATTTTGCAATTTGTGCTCGGCAAGTTGGATATATAATTATATTTGATATATAAAGTAAGTATACACACACACACACACACACATTTATAATTTTATATATTTGGCTTATATACACATTTTAACATAAATATGTACATGTATGAATATGTGCAAATTTCTATTTTCAATAAGGTAGTGATATTTCTACATATAACCTCTTCAAAATCTTTTAGTTGGTGTGCATCAGTTTTATAGTCGAACAAAAGACGAGACTACACTGTATTATACGAAGGAAGCTGTATGTGCATTTCTGCAATTCTGTGCTCAGCAATTTGTTTATAAGAATATAATATAATTAAACATAATATAAAGATATAAATATAATATGTATTATAAATACTTTATATATATTATAAATATTATGTATATTATAAGTTTATGTATATTATAAATATTGAATATATTCTAAATAAAGAAATATTTTTAAACTTGTTTTATTTATATTTTAACTGAAAAATCCTAACCTAACCTAACCTAAAAGCAGGATTTAGTACTGATCAAGACTTGTGTGTTTGCATGATGCCGGCATTCTAAAGTGCATTCTGCTTACACAAAGCTTGCATAGAGTGTTGAGCATAACGTGTCATCGCGATGCTTGCCAGATGGACCTGTATCTGGCAGTCACAGAGACAGCACGCATGGAAAGCATGCTTGCATAATGCCGGCACGTTGCCATCATTTTGTTTGCTGAGATGTAAAAGAATAAAAAAGAGCAAAGTAGTTGCGTGAAGTTAGAGAGAGCATAAGTGGCGCAGCTTTTTGGGACCGTACGCATAGGGAGTTTTACGCGAAAGAAGTAATTGAGCCAACAAGAGAAGAGTCTAAATATAGACAAATTGATTAGAGATTCTAATCCATCAAAAGGGAGCTTTAACGAAAAGTATAGAGGGAGAGCGAACTCAGTGTCGGTTTTGGAATGATGGATGAAGAAAGATGATAGGAAAGAAACAAAAAAAGAAAGGGAAGATAGATTGGATGGCACATTCAAACGGCACGAGAAGACAAAAAGATTACCTCCTAAATCTCTGTCCGGAAAGAAAAAGAAATGATAATGTTAAGGACAAACAGTATAGAGAGGGTGTTGAAAAAAAAGCTGATGCGGATGGTGCTGTATGGCAGATTCTACAAGAATTAAAAGAAATAAGAGAGAAAATGGAGAAAGGCAGAGAAGAGGTAAAGGAAGAAATTAGGAAAGTAGAAAGTACCATATTTAATATAGAAGAAAGGTGGGCAGCCAGAGAAGCAAATATGATAAGGATTATAGAAGATTAGGAAAAAAGAGTAGAAACTCTAGAAGAACAGGGAAACAGCAAAATGATAGCGTTTCGGAGAAAGAACTGTAAGAAAAATCGGCTGCAGGAGCGCGACAGCTGCTGGCTGGTACAACTAGCGCTTATACGTAAGCGCTACGAAATAATTTAAGAATGCGGAGTCTCTCATTCTGATATGAGCGCGTTAAGAGGATGCTGAACCACTGAACTCTATATACACTGGAATGCGCATCAAGAAAAATTTATGGCACAAATTGAATAGCGCCATGTTTGTTTGGCCTGGTATTTTAGCAAATCAGAAGCGTGTTCTGTGTTCCGCTACAATATGAATGACGGAGATGAAAAAGTACCAAAATAGAAAAAGTTTATTTAGGAGTTTGTAGTAATAAAACTACATAAAATTATAAATATTTATTTATAATATTTTAATTATAAATATGTATAAAAGAGCTTCTGCTTGTTAATACAATATAAAAATAAATTTGCNTATTAATGCAATTTAAAAACCTATTTTTTTGATGGTAAAAAAGCACGAAGTACACGCGCGCTAATTGCAAAATATCATTATATGTTATGTTGCAAAATAACCTAACCTAACGATTTTTATTCTACATTGTTAACACATGCAGAAACTGATATATTTAAGTCAAAATCCTTACCTATGAAATGAAATCCCCTTTTCACTTCTCTGCCCACATCCGAGCACGCAACACCTCATATCGCTAATATTACAGATGTTTTACACATATATTTATACAACCGTAACACGTTTCTACGCGTGCTAGGAGAATGCTTCTGATTCATTGTAGCGGGACGCGGAACGCACTTTTGATTTGCTAAAATATCAGGCCAAACAAAAATGGCGCTGATCAATTTGTGCCACGTCTCGCTATGCTTGTTAGGTGAAGATGCGCATTCTAGTGTATATAGAGTTCAGTGTGCTGAACCGCCGCATAACCTTGAAATTGGCTACTCGGCCGCTGTCGTCTGCTACGCTGTCTAGAAGGTAGCGCCATCTAGTCGGACGACAAAGATAGATATATGTGTCTTTTTCTTTGTCTCTCGGTCAATTCGTCTTTCTTTTAGACTAACAAGAGGAGCACCAAAAGTGGTTATCGTGAAATTCAATGCCAATTTTTTTGGTGGTTCTATCCCAGCAAACACAGAATATAACTGCTATATAACATAGAAGTAACAGCGTGATATACGTAATATAACAGCTGTTATACTTTATTAACATCGATGTTATGTAACTTTGTCTTATAAATGCAATATACTTATGTTATATATCTATTATATTGCTTGTTATTAGCTGGTAATGACATTATAACTTTCATATAACATTTCTGTAACTATATAACAATTATATTACATTCTACTTACATGTTATATTCATATTATATAACTGCAATATACGATAAGTAGGAAATTATAACTAACATAGATGTTACATGCAACGACCATGTTATATTACTAGTTACATTTGTCTTATTACGACAATGTTACTGTTACAGTATGTAAAGTAAGAGTGTGTACGGCATAAATGGCAGTTGGCTTCAAATATCGTCCTAGTTTTTTTGTGAGTCGATAGATGGAACCTTTGTCGTGAATGCTTTGTCACAAAAGATTTAGTTGGTGTCGAATTCTTATCTGAGAAACACGTTAACCGCCATGAGTGCCGCATACGCATCGCGCTACGAGACTGTGTTCCTTTGTTCCCACCCGAAAGGACCAAAAATGTCATATGTAGCGGCTGCTAAATTCATGGGAAAGTCAAAATCGTTCGTCGCTAAGTGAGTTCAGCAATATAAGAAGACCAAAAATGTCGATGACTTG